CTATTCCTGTTTTAAAATACAAAGTCCAGAGCGGATTAAAACTCCCTTTTGTTTAAACTAATTTTTTTCGTGTTAAGAAAATAAATTCCGATAAAAAACCGTACAAAACGTGCTTATAGATTCTTATACAAAGCGATTAAAATATTTTTAATAATTTCTCATGAGTTCCGATAGAGAACGATACGAAACCTGCTTATAGATTCTTATAAAGTTTTTTTTATAGGATTTTATTGGAATGTTCAACCAGGGATTAGTTATTCTATAACGACATAATATAGATCTAATATTTTTTCGAAAATAAACAATTTTTAATTTAATTATTTTTAATTTATCTTCATCATTTTAAGAATCATAACAACGAAAATATTGTTACATCTAAAATAAAGCCCACGCTACAGTGGACTTATTATCAAGTATGTTGGGCAAGTTTCCTTTTACCGTTATACTGACCAACAAATTATATTTATAATTGTCCTCATTTGTCATTGATATATAGTTTTCTAATCGAAATTTCTATAACGTCTATTACGATTTCTATACGTCCACTACAACTATAAATATAATTTAATGCTTTTATGTAAGTATGTAGTAAATAAACGAATATCTGAAAATGATTATTACATGAGTAAAACAAAAACTGTATTGTTATTTGAACCTACACGGAGAAAGCAGTAATAGCAATATTGTTAGAATTCAAGTAAACTTGAAAAAAAGCTAAAATCCTTCATTTATATGGGTGATCGTACACAGGGAGAATTTCTTTATTAAATGATAGTGAGTTAAGATAGTAAATTTTGAATTTTTGTAAGTAAGCTTGATTCTTCAAAGGTATCTAAGTAAAATGATTAATTAAAATAACTCAAAAATTACTTACGACAACCCAAAATTCACTGCTGAACAAAAATATTTTTACTTCTAAATTTCGAAACGTGCATTTTTTTCTTACAGTTAATACAAAAATTCTCTCCGCATAGAATCGAACAAATTTAAAAATAATGTCTCATTTCGAGACTTTAGGTTTACGATAAATTCTATTAAAATTGACTTGATTAAAAATAAATTTTTACAAAAACTGTTGATTAATTTATAAAATTGTTCAAGAATATATTCAATTAACGTAATACATTATTTGCTATAACGTTCAGAAAATATTATACCCTTTAAATTACTTATGATAGAAATTATAGCAGTTTACGTAATGGATACAAAAAACTAATTAATTAAAATAATTTTGTCGTGAGCAAAGTTAAGGTCCTTTGAAGGTGGAATTCAACACATTGTTGTCATATCTTGCCGAAATCTACACAGAGAAAAATAGTAAAGCTCGTCACGCTTTCGTTAGTGAGTAAAAATGACAATGTTTATTTCACTTCAAATGTTATAAATTGTAATCGTCTTTGAAGGATTCTCGATATTATGATGAAGTTAGAAAACCTTTACAAATAACAGTAGAAAATTCTGGGGTTTATCATTTTTGTGGATTGAAATGAAACTTTACAGTAAAAGAATTTTTTTTGTCTCATATTTAGTTCCAAGAATTTTTTTTTTTGGCGTATAAATTTCTGAATATTAGAAAGTGGACATCACTCGTCGTAAAGTAAAAGCTGTGTGCCGATAAATTAATTAAATCGTTGTTCTTTCTTTTCATATTCGAATATTTTTGTTTACAAAAGAAGTATTAAAATAGCTAAGCGGGTTAAAGCATAGGCTCAAGTCATATGCGTGCGAGTAGTTGTAGGTTCGAATCCCCAAGTAGAAAAAATTTGTTAGGACAAAAAAATTCAATTCAAATTTAAAATGCATTAAATGATAATGGAAAAAATATAATTCTAATTAAATGAAGTCATATAAATCATTGAAAATAATTTTTTTTTAATTGTTATAAAAAGTTTATGTGATTATAATATTATAATAATATTGTAGCCACAACGTATGATTTGTATATTGGTAGTTTTATATATATGTATTATGTCAGAAATTTTTAAATATTATTTAAATAAATGCAATATTATTATAATATCATTATTATGTTCACGTTAATAAATGTAACAATAAAAAAAAAATGAGGAATGTATTAATGTATAACATCCAATTGACATAAATTGAAATAGACTTGGTGTGTAGAGAAATTTGTCATCTTATTCTTCAGTTTAGATGTAGATTCCTTTAGCCAATCAATGATTGATACTCGCTAGCCATACTCTACCTTAATGTAGTTCTAGCACTTAACTAATGTCTGCAGGAAAACACGATTTTTAAGTAAAAAAAGGTGAGATAAAGTGTAATACTAAAAAAAAAGTGAATCGAAGAATTAACTAATATCTCAACAAATTATAATAATTTTTGATGCATTAATAAACTAAAAAATTGATAAACAAAAGGTGCAATAAGCGTTTTTAAATTTCTTTTGACAAGTTAGTATATTTTCTCGAGCGTTTCATTTTTCTCTCGCATTCTACTTTACCTTCCTGCCCTTATGACGTTCTAGAGATAAATCTAAATAATTTTGAAGGAAAAAAAAATTGAGTCATTGATCGTTTCAGAAAAAAATTCACATCTAAACGCTTACATGCTACGGATAATTTTAGATAACAATATAATTATCTTTAAAGCAAACTCAAATCAAAATTCCACTAAGAAACCAATAGTTAGTGATAATATTATCGAAATAAACTAAAAAAATGCGCATTTCATATCAAAAATTCAGATTATACTTAAAAATTTATTTGAAAATTAATCGTTCATTTCAAAAAAGAAATAGAAACAATTTCGTCATGTTCTACAGTAGCTATTCAATAACAATATTTTAAAAGTTTCGTATTAATCTATTAATGTAGATTTTTTAAAAAATATATTTACCTTTGTAGCTAAATACGCATGATTTGGTGCTTCTTTCAAAAACTTGTTAATTTCAACCCAGGTTAAGATCACAGCGTTCTTTGATTGTTGTCCTTTACCATTATTTTTCATTAATGTTTTCAATCGTTAATTCATCAAAATATACCAATAAAACGTTTTCATCTATCACATTAGTTTTACGTTTTTTTGCCACTGAATAAAGTCATTGTAACATAGCATATATTTTTCATTTGATTTTTTTGGAAGCAGCTTCATTGCTAATTGCTTTAGCTTCTTCTTCAAAATTAATTTCACTATCATTAGTTGAACTTGATAAACTCATTTTTTTTTTCTTCTGACACATCTAATATTTTCCATGCGTACTCTGTGAGTGGGTGAAAAAGAATGGTTGAAGTTGTAGAATTCTTAAATGACAAAACATAGTGTCTTCATATTCGACAAAGAGAATCTAAGCAAATTGAGAAGTTATCAATGCATCATCTGCTTTGGCTTTGGATGAGAATTGAGGAGGAAATAAATGATTTTTAAATAAAATTTAATAAAACCATAAATATTCATGTTAGTGGTATGTTGATGCATTTTTGTTCGTTATTGTATGCCATATGATGAACACGTTCAGTTTTCATGGATTTTACCAGTTTGAAAAAGCACCGCGGGAATGAAAAATATTTCATCAAGAACTCCATCAGCGCCACTTCTCATTATATGGTGGGGTTAGAGTTTTAAGTAGGGAAAAAAGTTGAGATCACACATGACGGTTGTATAGGGGAGAAAGCGCCATTTTGCCCTCTAAAAGTAGAGATAGAATTCAAACTTTCAGTGGGAGTATAGTAAGAAATATTTTCTCACCTGACGACTATCTATTATTAATACAAGTAGCTAATCATTTTCATTAATATGCTAATTTACTCTATATTCGTGCATAATTAGCAATGACTCGACTTGCTTGAACAACGTTTAATTATTCGTAATAATATTTAGAAGTAGGTATACAGTTATTAGATACATGATAGTGTCACTATTAAACAAATTCCGCTAGAAAAGCTCAAATCTAACAATTACTGACATTTTCTTATTATTTATAACAATTATAGGCAGTTATAAACAAATGATAGTTGCAAGAGTAATTATAAAGTCAATTATTGACTGGAAAAATTAATTTCTTTTTAACTAAAATTTAACTGGTTTTCAACCAATATTCAACTATTTTTTCTCCAGTTAAATACGCGAGACTTTTTTTTATCATTTTACTAATATTTGACCTGTTCTTAACCAATATTTAACCGTGATTTTCTTTAGGATATATAAAAACTATTCTACTTATTTGACTAGTATTCAACTGGTTTTTAACCCATATTCAACCGTTTTTATTCCGTTAAATACTTAATATTTTTCTCGTATTTAACCGGGATTTAACCGTAAATATTCAGTTAAATATCAAAGTTATTTCTCTGCTTTTTAACCGGTTTTCAACCGGGGAAACACGGTTGAATTTCGGTTTGATGTTTTAACAGTAATTTAACTGATTTTTTCCAGTTCATAGAAACCGCGAGGATTTTTCGAGTTTATTCCTCTATTCTGCTGATTATTGAAAATTATCTTTGATTTATGTCGAAAAAATACAAATCAATTCCAAATACAATGAATTCATCCGACTTCGATGAAAATTGTTGTAAATAGTGAGGTTAGAAAATGTAAGGAAATCGGGTCTAAATATGTATTTTTTTTTTTGTATCTTATTCCCAAAACAGTTACTTGTACATTACTTTATAAGCCCATAATTATAACTGATTATCAATTTCTCCTAATGAGCTTCACCTCACTCAGCGTTTGTGTGAGTGAGCTCACCCATACTCACTCAACCCCTTTACTTCAGAATATTGAGATTGTCACTTCAATGAAAATAATTAATTTTATTCAAATGCAATACTTGGCGTATAATTATTTCACGATTTTTTTCAATCTTTTAAATTATTTATATTTACAAAAATAGCATTTAAAAAACAAAGATTATCGTCCTAGTTACTTAAACTTGGCGCACAATTTTGTACAGTTCGTGGGGCTGTTTTTGGGATGATTTGAAAAATACCTACCAATTTTAAATGAAATGAAACATATTAAGTTATAAAGAAAAATATTACCTTTTCTACCTTTGCATCATTCTCATCGATTAGATCCAATTTCGATTGATTAAATATTGAACACAGATCTGCACCTGTGAACCCTTCTGTCATTTTTGCTAATAGCTCTAGATCGAAGTCCTCACTATCTAACTGATATTTTTTACAAAGAACGTTCAAAATGTCAAGTCGATCATTCTAAAACAATCAAGTGTTTTGAACATCAATATTTGTTGAATGAATAAACACTCGGCTTCATTGATGCTTTCTCTAGAGCAATTGCTGACCGTGGGGGTGATTTGTTTTTTGTTGAATTACTAATCTTAAATTTATGAATTTTAGGCTGAATTGAGAAAACTATAAAATTTTAAATTATATTAAACATATAATGTTTTAGGAATGGAGAATAGCCTATTCTTCATGGTTTCAGGATATATAATAATATTGTTTATAATCAGAACGGTAAAAAAGTCGGCTGCAAATAACTATAATTAGCGGAAATTCATTAGAAAATCAATAAATTGTGATTTTCTATTGACATGTTTAAACGGTGATCATAATTTCAAGGCACAAAAAAAATTACTGGATAATTTGTTTGAGGAATTTCTGCTGATCATTGTTATTTACGGCAAACTTTTATGCCTTTATAATAATAAAAAAATTATTTAAAATTCTAAAACATCATATTTCGATTATATTTACAAATTTTATATTTTTTTTTATTTTAGCCCAAACTTAAATATTGGAGACGCAATATAAAAAAATTATTGCAGCGCTTGGTAATTGCTCTTATAGTATAGAGAAGGTATTAATAAAGCTGAGTGTGTCTTGCATCGACACTTTAAGCATTTACAGTCCACATGAAGAAGTGAGAATTTACCTCTTGTGGTAAGGGACATAGAAGCAATCTGTTCAATCGACCAGGTCTCAATAAAGCAGGATCTAATAAATCTGGACGGGATGATGCAGCGACAATTGCAACTCCTTCTCTTCTTTCTATACCATCCAATTGTGTTAACAATTGATTAACAATGCGGTCTGTAACACCTGTAGAATCATGTCCACGACTGTAAATCGAATGATATATCAATGAAGGAATTTTAGTTCCAATGTATTTCTCTCTATTTATCTTGAACCATCAAATCTTCTATTAATTATTAAAAATAAACAGCTTACCGAGGGGCGAGACTTTCGAACTCGTCGAAAAATAATACACAAGGTGCGGCTCTTTGTGCTCTGAAAAATAGAAAAAAAATTAGCGATATTTTTATGTATCCAACCTGTCGTTACCCTAGTAACCAGCTTTGGAAAATTTACTAAAAATCATGGATCATGATCTGGAACAGAATGTATGATTCTGCAGCAGTGTCATCAGTATTTGCTTTTTTATTTACATATATTGATGAAAGAGATGTGTAATAGTAAAGAAAGTTTTCTCACTGCTGAAAAATATTTCATAATAGTTGAAAAATATTATCTGAATTATTCAACAAAGTCCTGTCACAGTACAAAAAATATTTTTAATAGATAATAAATTTTCTTAAATATCCTGCTTAATAATCCTTACTGAATAATATTGTATTCTATAGAGTTTTTTGGAGTTTCAATGGAAAAAGTAAACATTTCAATACGGAAAATAGAGACATTTTTAACTGTCAAAAGGAATCTAACAGCTAAGGATCAATTTAGATTGGAATTCAAAATGCAGTCAGCAACCCTACAGAATCCAAATTCGATCTATTCACCGAACCAAATAATAGCACTTTCAAGAAGGAGTGCAGGAAGGGCTGCAGTTAAAGATATATATAGGAGGTTTGTATTAAGAAATTCAATTTTCTTGGTCTTAAGAAACAATGTAATTGAGTAAAACTATTCCGTGATTCATACCAGAATTAAAAGTTTTTAATAAAACAAGAAATACGTTATAACATACAATAAATTACTTATATTAAATATCTCAATTTATTAAATAAACAATAAAAATTAATTGCATCAAACAATTTCTGTAGAGTATGTTCAGATAAATTAAATATTTGGAAAATGAAAGCCTTGAAATTCAAACAGAAAAAGGTGTAATTAAAGTATATTTTATCGTGGCTATAAGTTGTGGTGACAATTTAGGTTAACATTTAACATTAGGCCTAAATGAAAGCTTTAATTCTATCCATTATTGTAGATTTCGTTGAGAATCGAAAAACAAATACATGAAAATATTAAAGCTTTTCGTACAATAAATAATTACCAAGCAGATTCAGAAAGTGAAAACTTAGGTATCAACCGAAAATGCTTATTTAACAAATTAGAAAATTTTCGTGTTACCAAAAATATTTACAGTAATATTGTACATGATTTTTTAGAAGGTTTCCTAAGAAACGAAATTCTGAGGATCATCCATAATTCAATAGATGCAAAAAATTCACAATTAACATGATTATACTTAAATAATAGAATTAGAATGTTCAATGTTGGTCATAATGTTTCAAATAAAAAAAATGCCACCATTTACCATAAATAATTTAAAAAACGATTTATACATTTGAGGTTTATCTGAAATAATAACTTTAATGAACTTATTGAGTTTAATAATTGGCCACCTAACTCCTCATACTAATCAAACTTGGAAGCTATTTTCAAAATTAGAAAGAATACATAGCATTCTATTCAGTGACTTTATTGATGATGTAACAACTGAAATATTCAAAAAACTTGTATCCGAACATCATAAAATGTATTTAAAGTTGTTTAAGGAAAATTTAAAACCTAAATCTCATTTCATGTTACACTATCCTCAAATTTTTAATGCTGTAGGCTCATTGTAGCCATTATCTTGAATTCGAAGCCAATTATTGTAGTTTACATAATTTTGCGCAAATTATGAAAAACCGTAAAAATATATGCTACAGTCTCACAATAATAAGTCAATGTATTTTTAATGAAAAAATAATTTCTCAAAAAGGGTTTTCAAAGCCTACAATTCCAGTTGATTCATCACCAAAAATCAGACTCGCAGACCTTAAAGAGTATAATCGATTTGAAAGAAATAATTTTACAAAATAAGATTCAAGTGTCGAATGTACTTACCCTTCTTGGGTCAGTGTGAAAAGTTTCAAATATATTAACGAAATGATCAAAAAAATTAAAGATTCAAAGAGTTTTAGTGAAATTAAATATATTTTGATTTACAACGAAAAATGGTTATTTATCATTTTGCGATTAAATGATTCATTTGATGAACATTTTCATGCTTACCTACTAAACAGCACTAAAATATGGAATATTTTAAATTACAATGATTTAACAGACCGCAAGCTAAAAATCAATACGCAGTTACTAACAGATTTAATTATGTAAACAAAAAGAATTTTTTTTGAGTAATTATAGTTTTAAATAAAATATTATTTACATTAAGAATTTACTGGTTCTAATTAAAGAATTTTAAACATTAATTTAAAATACTGTAATTTCTTTTAATTGACTTTGGTTTCATGCGAACGACACGTGTAAATATATTAAAATCACTTTTTATTTTGAATAAATACCATTTAGTTGATTCCTGAATCAAGAATAGTTTTTAAATTCTTGTGGTAGCGCGCATCCGTTATTCACTGCACACGATCTTGTGGGAAGCGCAAATTGTTTTGCGGTATAGAATTCCCCGATGACCTTATAAAGGAAGGTCAACTTGAGGAATCAATTTTTTATTCTTGCTTGGTAAATCTGTTTTCCATTCTTTTCTCATTCGCTTTCAGGCACGTAGTAACATATTCTGAGTACATTCAGGCACAATCTTTGTGGTTTTACTCAAATCAAATAACAAGGTCAAGTTCAGTTAAAAAAAAGGACCGCCCTATAAAAATGGCTTTTTTTAGTGATTTTTTATTTAATGCGGCACATGATAGCACAAACTTTTTTTTACAAAAATCTTTATAGGGTGGGTCCAACGTTATGGACATCGATCAAGGTGCTGTATTCACGTACGCTATATTTTTTGTACACAATTGTGGAGTGCAGTATTTCTTGGAGTCTTTCATAAAAAAAGATATACCAGTCATAAGATTGAATAGAGAGGATTTTACAATTTACAATAATTCTATTTTTATCAAGTGTCCACATCAAGACCAACACTACGAAGGAATGATGAAAGAAGGAATAGATTTAGGACTTCCGCGTCTATACAACCCTCGATATAATTGTGCACTTATAAATGTAAAAAAACTAAACCAATGGATTTTTAAGAATGTTTCGATTTTCGATGATGATATCTGGCCAACAAAAATTTATCAAGTAACCAAAATTTACTCAAGTTGGATCCAACAGACTCAAAACTTTTAACGAAAGAATTCATCATCGAAGAGGCTGCAAACTATATTGACACTGCAAAGGATAAACTGCCTGATAAACGGAAATTAGATGAGGATTTTAAAATGTATCGACGATGGTACGAGCACTTTCCCTATCTCGAGCTGCTTCTTCCCAACATCCTTATCTGGCTGCTCTGTAAGCATAAGCCCATGCATACATTACGTGTATTTTCGGTTGAAGATTAAATCGAACAGATTTTCGTTCCATTATAATAATTTTCTTAATTGTCAACTCAAAGTTTTGTATTCAATAATTCGATCAGAATGATAAAACAGTATGCTGATGCATTATCGGGTATCGGTTTTAGTAGATTCAAATTCAATTCGCACATCCACAGCTCTAGACTTGAATGACTCTTTTTGTTTTGAACAATTGATGACAATCAAAGGTACTTTGCTGATAAATTGTTTTTTTGTAAGAAGAGGTTCTGAATCTTTGCCATAATATGATTCTTCGTAATTTTTGTACATATCATATAATAATGCATATTGATTGTTAGCTGTGTCAAGATTCAAGTTGCCATATATATATATCCTTGTTAATTCGATAGGTGGAAAATAATATTCCTCTAATACAGAGGATTGTCCAGACAATGTTATTTTTGAACGAATCGTCCATGACTGAAGAACTTTTATTCATCTCAACTTCGTATATATCTTTGAGATTTTGTCTCAAACCGAGTCCCTCAATGTCTTTAACTTTTTCTCTGAAAAATTTTCAATCTAAATGTCGTTTTTCCATGGTTTAGATTTCGGTAAATCATTTCTCATGAAAACTCCACGAAAATATGCAATTTTTATAATTTTTGCATGCCTCAAAATTTCGATGTTTATTAACGCTCGATGTGGTAACCTATACAATTTTTTTCATCGGTTTCAAATATAGACCGTATCCGCGTTTTCAACGTTTAAAACTTAAACCTCTACCCAAGGCTATAGCTTTTATTTTCTGATTGTGACGTTTTCCTTCATCCAATTGATGATGAGCAGCTTTAGCCTTATTAACTGCCTTTATAATACCTGAAGCTCCACCAGCTAAAGTTCCAATTGCACTTAGACTGGCAAGAATTAGGGTAAGTGGTAAAACACCGCCCACTTTAGTAGTTACAAGTAATACATGAGGAACTCGAACATTCTTTTTTCCATCAATCGTTTTTGTTGCTTTTTGTACAGCTATTAAAGCAGATTTTATGGGATCTGCACCTGAATTCATCGTTAATTTTGCAGAATTCACAATCGTTCTCAGGGGTTTCTTCTTTAAACCCTTTCCAAATATTCTTTTCAAACCCATTTTAAGTTTTGATTTAACTTTCATGATATTCGTAACTCCCAATGCAGCAGCTCTATCACTTAAGTTGCGTTTATAGTGAAAACTCTTTGCCAAGCTTCCTTACCAAGCACTCTATTAGCTGCGTTTCTCGCTTTTATGTTTTCTCGATTTTTCGAATACGCAATGTCGTGCTCTTCACACGCTGCGTCCAATAGATTTACACCAGAATCACCACTTTCTAATCGTTTCTGTAATTTTGTTCCAGGTCCACAATGCTGATATAAGGGAATATGTAACTCAAAAAGCAATTTATTTATGACAGTATCAACTAAGCCGGTGCCACGTCTGTACAATGTCATAACTCGAGTCATACTGAAATGATTTCTATAAAAGTCACGCATTTATATTCTAGCTCTTTAGTTGACATCGAAATGAAATTAGAGCAACAAAGAATATAATTACTGGTGTCGAATTTCAACAACGTTGTGCCACAAACTGCGAAAATTCAACGTCATGGTAATTTATTGGCGAATAGTATTCGCGGCGTGATATGTGGCTCCTCAAATTGTGGTAAAACAAATGCTCTTTTAGCTTTTATTGTACAC